GTTCCTTGGACTGCAAAGAGATCCAACCAGTTCATCCTAAAGAAATCAGTCCTGGGTGTTCATTGGAAGGACTGATGTTGAAGCTGAAACTCCAATACTTTGGGCACCTGATGTGAAGAGCTGACTCATTTGAGAAGACCCTGATGCTGGGAAAGATTAAGGGTGGGAGGAGAAGGGGACGACAGAGCATGAGATGGCTGGATGGCATCACCAACTCAATGGACATGAGTTTGAGTAAACTCCGGGAATTGGTGATGGACAGGGAGGCTTGGCGTGCTGCGGTCCATGAGGTCACGAAGAGTTGGACACGACTGAGCGACTGGACTGGGCTGAACACCTCTAACACCTTGTGTGTGTGTGTGTGTGTGTGTGTGTTGCTCAGTCGTGTCTGACTCTTTGTGACCCCAAGGACTGTAGCCCGTGAGGCTCCTCTATCCATGGGATTCTCCAGGTAAGAATACTGGAGCGGGTTGCCATTTCCTTCTCCAGGGGATCTTCCTGACCCAGGGATCAAACCCAGGTCTCCGGCACTGCAGGCAAATTTTTACCATCTGAGTCAACGGGGAAGCCCTCTAATACCTTATCTAATATACAGATCATTCAAGAATCAGCACATGAAGCAAATATAAGTATTTTCAGTGTCTGGGTACCTTCTTCATATATTTTATGAATTGACCTCTAGGTTTTATTGAATAGAAAAACATAAAATCCATCATCTCTAAAGGAGAAGATAACGTTTGTATATTAATCACGAATTCTTTGTCACTCAGTCTCATAATGCTGGTGATATTAAATGATATGATATTAAATGATAATCTGCCAATATTTTACTTAATTATTTTTACCTATTTAAGCTTATTTTTATGTACTTAAGTTTATTTTTTATTTACTTAAGCTTATTTTACGGGTTAAGTGACATACTTAATGTTCTCTCTAGCCCAGTTATCCCTTAGATAGTCTTGGATATAAAACTAGTTGGAGTGGCCTCCTTGGAGTAGCTCTGTCCTTTGTCAACTTACTATATAGATTTTCTGAGACACTGGATCTATCCATTGGAATTCTCTCACCCAGGGTAGTTTTTACTTTCAAGTAATCTGCAAAACCACTGCAAGAAAGAGTCTTCGGACATTTCCGTTTCTCATAATTCATCACTCTACTAACATTATCCTTTTACAGATATTTAGCATTTGTTTTATACTATATTTTAATAAAAACTACATTCATAAAAACACAGTGAAAGTGAATACCCACTTACAAGAAAACATTTCACATAATCCACTAGGAACTTCATCTTGAAACCATCAAGATTTAATATACTCTTGAGATTCCTGTAATACTCAAGTTGGATCTCTTAATAACCATTCATCTTTGTCTATTTTCTATTTTTCTCTTTAAAAACCAATTCAACACTGTCATTTTCCATTCCCAATAAATTTGAGTTCAACCATCCAACTATCCCTTCACTGATCTCTGTCTTTCTCTTACTTGATAACATGTGTCTTCATGACAATAGGACTTAACCATGAATAAGTCCTTTTAAAGCTTCTGTTTTTAAGAAATCAATAAAACCATATTTAAAGTAACTGTTCTTTGCAAGAACTGCATTTTTTTCCCCCAAAGCACTCTTAACTCAAGGAGGTCTAAACATAAATCTGGAAAAAGTTTAGGGAACAAAAGAAAAAATAGACACTTCATGCAAATTCTAAAACCAAAGCCAGATCCACCCCACACATATGCATACATATTCAACAGTGATTTGTTTCTGGTAGATGCTGTTTTGAGTAGATCCTTAAGGGCAGGCATGTTTTTGACCCAGCACTTAACAAGGCATCTGGCACATACTAGATGTTCAGTAAACGCAGAATGAATGAAGAAGAACATGCAATGTGTTCATATCACTGCCACATGAGACCCATAGGAATGACCGGTCAAGGGTATGGTAATTAAATGGATGGACATAGTATGCGTGTGTGCTAAGTAGCTTCAGTCATATCCAACTCTTTGTGAACCTATGGACGATAGTCTGCCAAGCTCCTCTGTCCAGGGGATTCTCCAGGCAAGAATACTGGAGTAGGTTGCCATGCCCTCCTCCAGGAGATCTTCTCTACCCAGGAACTGAACCCACATCTCTTGGGTTCCCTACCTTGGCAGACAGGTTCTTTATCACTAGCACCACCTCGGAAGCCCAGGAATGGATACAGAACTACCTCCAAAGCTCATGGAGACTCAGAACAACACTAGAAGGGCAGACCACCAAGTTCAGTAACTGAGATCATGTCAGTATCAGAAGTAACATACATCATGTCAGTTATCCCTAAAATGAACTTTAGTTCATTTTCTTGATCAAAGCTACTAAGTTTACTCTGAATTTCAAATCATTGAATACATCTATTCAGGGGGTATAAGGAATGTATAGCTGAAGCAGGAGATGTAGACAACCATCCTTGAATAACAGAGGTTTATAGTCCTTTATTCTCTTATGAGCTTCTTTTTTGACAACTTCTGTCTTTATTGGTAAGCAACAAGGTTTTTCCCTTGGGAGGTCTTTCTTTCTTCTCTCTTTCTGTCTTAAGGATGTTGCCACATTGTCATTCAACTGCTTTTGGAACTACCAGCAAGATGTTCTCCAAATCACTATGCCAAGGGAAAGCAATTTAACACACACACATACACGTATGCTTGTTTGTATTTGATTATTTGTGTTTGCTTGTTTCCCTGGCTTTTTTGTAAGTTAGTACAATTTTGGAAAATAATTTGGCAATTTCTGTAAGCTGAATATTCACACATCCTACACAATCAACAATTCTATACCTTGGTATTCACCCAAGGGAAACACCTGCCCGTGTGCCCCAGGAAATATGAATGAGCAAAGCAGAATTCTGCAATCTTCTTAAAAATGAAAAAAGAAAGGGGGGAGGCTAGTGGTAGGAGAGCAGGGAAACATTTTGTTACAGATACATGATGGAATATTGTACAGCAGTGTAAGTCAATGAACTACAGCTACATACAACATAGATGAATCATAGTGACATAATGTTGAGTAGGGAAAAAAAGTCTCCCACATCAACAGATAGTACATGACACCTTTTTCTCAATATTAAAAACAAACTAAAAAAAGGTATTATAATTATTACTTAAGCTCTGCGATTAAAAACAACAACAACCAAAAATATCTTCTTTTGAGAATTTGTGCTTTATCCTTCCATAGAGGACCACAAACTTCTATCTACTTATGCATTAATGTAATTCTACAATTATAGAATTATGTATAATTCTATACAATTCTTCAACAATGCTACAGATATCCAACAACAAATATTTCATCTTGGACGGACTTTACCTTTCTTCTTGGAATAAAGTTAACTAACACAAGGTTAAAGCAATCTAAGGACAAGAAAACTTATTTTAAGCAATTCTGTAAAAGTCTAACAATCACATTTTACTAGAGCCAAGAGACAACTGATAAATCATCATAATCTGAAACTAAGATATCCCAAAAGGAATTCATCCACTGATTGTATAATTGAGCTATCAACATCAAAACTGAAAATACGGGCAAACCCTGGATTTTTTTAGGCTTTCTAAAAGCAAAAATTTTAATTTCAAAATGCTGTGTTTCTACTTGGAGAAAAAAAAAAAACAATGTTATTTTTAGGGGGAAACACATGACATTCTGGGTAAAAGAATGACAGGATTAACAGTCCACCTATCAGGGCCTTCCTTATAACCCAAGGAGGGCTATGCATACATATTCTCTATAGGTGATTATAGCCCAGTTACACTGCAGCTTCCCTTCGACCTTGGGAACTCTGCTCACTCTGAGTTACTGCGAGGTCTTCTGTTTCATTTATTATTAGTCTTTGTATCTGCAATGCTGTAGCATTGGATAGGAATATCAACATTGCGAGGTCGCAGTACCTAAAACTGTAGAAATGCTTCCAAAAAACAAAAAAGGGAGGAGGGAGGGTGGAAAAAATACTACAAGAGGAAAATAAAGTTAATGATATTAAGATGGCCTATTAAATTTTTTTACTTTTGGAGAGAGACTATATTTGCTAATCATCTCTGTGAAATACAACTATCCGTTAGCATACAATTTTTAAATTTAAGAAAAGATAGTCAAGAAAGAAAAATTGGTATTGGGGTGGGGGGATCACAATTTACTAAAACTAGTCCAGGGATTTAAAAATGGAAATTCGTATAGAGAAAAAGCCTATAGGACTTTGCATCCGGGAGAAAGAAATAATCTGGCACCCCTGTGGGTTCACTTAGTTTCCTGTCAGTTGCTTCACGTCCATTATGTAATGCTTTCCCCAGCTTTAAGTCTCTATGTTTAAGCTACCTTTAGGTATGTAACAGAACTGCTACAAAATCAGTATCTGGCCATAACTTTCAAAAACAGCTCAAAAGATGTCATGCAGATATATCTGTATTCAGCAGAGGCTTAAAAAAAAAAAATGTGCTGGTGTCATTACTTCTAGCCGGCTTCCTCCCCAGGTCTCCCATCCCTTCCTCCCCGGCATCTCTGGCCACACGTTTTGCGGGCAGCTCCCGGCTGGATGCAGGGGAAGCACGTCTTGACTGCAATGCAAACCCTGTCCCGGTCTGAACCAGGGAAGGCAGGCTCCGGCCCGGCCGGGGGTGTGAACGAAGGCTGCAGGGAAGGCTGCAGGGGACCTAGCAGCGGGTGGGCAGGGGTGCCCCGAGAGAGCAGTCCGCAGTGCACGCGCACAATAAAACCCAATGCACAACTTCCCCAGCCGCTCCTCTCGGCTCCCCAGCTTCCCAGAAAGGTGCGGCGTAGGCGTCAGCTGGAGCTGGCGCGGGCGCGCGGGTTCGGTTCTCCGCCGACAATTACATCAGTCCCTGTCCCTGCCCCAGCTTCCAACCCAGCAGCCGGGGCGCGGGGGGCGCGGGGAGCGCGGGGGGATGCGGGCTGGAGAGCCGGGCGCCCGGAATTCCCCACCACGAGGGGGAGGGGAGGGTGGGGAGCGGGGACCATGACCCAGACGCCCCCTCCCACCACGGCCGCGGGGCGGGATTGTCACCGCCACCTCCCGCTCTCCAGCCAGGGGAACCCCCGGAAGGCTACGATGCCTCGGGGGCCCAAAGCCAGGCTGCCCGGCCGCGCGTCCCTGAGGGTCCTCGGCCCTCCGGCCGCGCACAATGCCCCCGGGCCGCGGTGCGGGCACCGTCGTGCGGCTCCGGGTGTCCCCTCCGCAGCTAGGAGACCTACCGGGAAGACGAGCAGCGGTGCTGCCGATGGTGCGGTGGCAGCGACGGGAGGCGGGAGACGGCCCCGGCGGACGGGCGCGCGGGCCGGCCGGGGAGCCGAGGCGCGGGCGCCGCCTGCGTGGAGCCGCGGTCTCCGGCACCCACAGCGGCGGCGGCGGCGGCGGCGGCGGCGGCGCTGCGCCTCCAGTGGTCCGCGGCGCCGCAGCCCCTCCTCTCCCACGGGCGGGGCGCGCTGGCGGGGCGGTGCTCCCGGCTCCCCGCCCCCGGCTCCCGCTGGCTGGCGGAGCTCGACTGGAACCGCTGCTCGCCGGACCTGCTGGACACCTTCTCCGAGCCTCCCGGAGAGCCGCGGGCTGGGCGCGCCGAACCTCGGGACGCGCGGGGCCTCACTGCCTGGGCTCACCTCCGGCCGGCCCCGCTGGGAAGACCCCTGCTGTCCAGAGACCACAGCCGTGGAGCCCTTGACCCGGCAGACCCGGGCCTGAGCGCCGTAGAAACGACCCGCTTCGCCCTAGCTCCAGCCAGCGGAGGTGGGCCAGCTGGCCCCAGCGCTCGGGGCCCGGAGAGCAGCCGCTCGATCACCGTGGGAGAGCGGATTCGGAAGAGAACGGCAGCCCGGTCACCTCCCCGGAGACGATGCCCAGCCCGTCTCGGGCCTTCATTCAGGTGATCAGTAAACAGACAGGACTGGGTTTGCCTGCTCCCAGCCGTCCCTGACACTGGCGAGCAGAAAGTTCTCAGGCCCGGAGAAACACCTCCCTAGGACCCTTCCCACCCTCTGACATTCTTCTACACTTAAACCGTTCGCAGCCTGTTGCCAGGGCAGCTTAACCTAAAGGCAAATATGCTAGGAAGGACGGGGTGCTTTCTTCTGTAGATGGATGACTGGGGAAATATCGGAGGTATCTCAAGACATTTCTGTCATCACCATCTTCGGGAGAAAAAAATCCCGAGCACACGAATTGTCGCAGGAGCTACTACCGAAGCAGCGCTGGAGTGCTTTGTGAGCTCTCTGGGGTTCCGGACTGGATGAAGGAGGGTAGCGATGCCTTTAAAAATTTTAAGATATTGCTACTCACAGAGGCAGTTCTGATGGCATTTCACCGTTCTCTGTGCTGATTAAAAAAAAAAAAAAAACAGCAACCTTGTTTTGCTATGAAACATAATCATATACACTCATTCTCGCACAATTTCTCTTGACTTTCCCATCTCACTTTTTGGTTTAGCATCTTCCACCCAAACATCAAAAAATAATAGATGCTGGACCCTGTGACGTGTCCGTTTCACCTTAACTCCTTCCCTATGAAGAAATTCTCCTCAAGGGGACAACTGGGGTGCTGACCTTCATTTGACCATCACCACATTTTCACCCCTTTCATCTGGATTCTATTAATAGAAACTCTACTGAAACTGCTCTCTCTCTTAAAAAAACAAAAAGGTAAATCCCATATATAAGAAAATAAAGTGTGAAAGGAGATCAGAGAGCACACACAGAGTAGTTAGCCTAAAGAAATGCTCAAATATTTTAAGGGAACCTCTAGGAGCAGAGAACCATAAACTGTTAGGGAGGGTGGAGGGACTATCACACCCTAAATATCATGTTTTACCCTAAGAACACTTGTATGCTTTCAATCTATTCCATAGTATCTCTGTTGTATTATTTTATTTATTCAGTTAGTTATTGGCAGCTGTGCAGCTTGTGGGATCTCAGTTCCTGGACCCTTGGCAGTGAAAACGCAGAGTCCTAACCACTGAACTGTGAGGGAATTCCTCGTTTTACTATTTGAAAATTAGGTTTTAAATATCAGGGGGCAAGTCTCCTACATGTCTTATTGATTAATGATCAAATAAGCTGTGAGGGCACTATACCCACCCATTTGCGGATATGGGTGAAATGGAGAGCTGACATGAAATAATATAAAGGCAGGTTTTCCAGTCTGTGTATCACAATATTTTGAAAACTTAGACTGGCATATGTATGTAAATATGATTAACAGGCTTCTCACTGCCTTCTGAGCTATGACAGGGTTATTGCTCAGAAGTTGCCAGAAAGCAATGTTTTCATTAAATGTACTCTTGTTGAGAGATTAGGTCACAAGTCATATGTTGGCAAAAAGGATCTCTGCTTCCTGATTCAGTCCTTCAGTTTGTCTCAGAAATACTTGTTCATAGACTTTTTCAATGAAAGAAGATAAAGATATTCTTAAATACTACTATTAATGCCATAATTTCAGGATACGGAAATAAATTGGAATCATAGCCCCTATCATCAATTCTTTTCATATCACTCTCACACTTTATTTTCATTGTAATTTTTCTACATGTATAATTTTAGCTGGGATTTCTTAGGCATACTGAAAAGCTAATGTTTCAGCAAAAGATGCAATCCCAAAGCATCAAGAGTAAGGAAAAAACATGTGCAACAAAGAAGAACAGGAAGCAAATACATGGTGGTGTATTGCCAGCCTGGTCTGTGCTTCATGAACCTGAGGAGATGCAGCCAGTTCCTTAGCCATGTGATGTGTCTATGAACAGTTCAGTTCAGTCACTCAGTCGTGCCCGACTCTTTGCAACTCCATGGACTGCAGCATGCCAGGACTCCCTGTCCGTCACCAGCCCATCGAGTTGGTAATGCCACCCAACCATCTCATCTTCTGTTGCCCCCTTCTCCTCCTACCTTTGATCTTTCCCAGCATCAGGGTCGTTCCCAGGAAGTCAGTTCTTCCCATCAGGTGGCTAAAGCAGGCTCTATAGAAAACATGTGCGGAAGCTGTCTGTTAAAGCAAGGACCAAAAAAGAAATTTACCTGCAAGCTCCCTCCCAATTCCTATCCCCCACTGGTCAAAAGTTACCCGGCTGGTGGTTAATCCTCCCGGCGAGTTGAGTCATCTGATCCATTTGGTAAAAAGGAGCAAATCCCATCCTTTGCAGCCACTGTATGGTATTTCTGCAGGAGTGTTCTACAGGCAGATTGGTTATTCTGGAAACTCCTATTTTCCAGAATCCCCTTGTAGGTTTGTGTTTGTCCAGGTGGAGAAAGCTGAAGTTGCCTGAGGTTTGAGTTTCATTTAAACAGAAGTGAAGCAGCAGCCATTCAACTCTGAAAGTTGTAATTGGTTAGATGTGGCAAAAGACAAACGCCTGGATGTAGGAAAGTTCTTGTTCTCACTCTTCTCTGTCCTGTGTTCTCCTTGGCCAAACAACTGCGACCACAGTCAGGCTAATGGACTCTTCACAGAGACTCAGAGGTGGGAATCACAAAGACCCCACCACTTTTCCATAGACATGTATACTGGTCGTCCACGTGGTCCTGCCACAGCAGCTGAATGTGCCTAGCTTCCAGATTTCCCTCCAAGCTCAGACTCCTTTGGTTATGTCAGGGCTGGTCTCTCATCCTTCAACAACCACTTTTCAGTCTCTTAATTACCCACCTCCTCCCACAAGTGTGGAAGTCTAATTCTTTTAATAAATTCTTGAACATTCTCAGAGGGCTTCTGCTTCCCTGATCGAACCACATTGTTGAGGACTTAAACCCGTGGCTGCTCTGCTCCATGAGTCACTTGGTGGTGGGGGGCGGGCAGTTGAAGCAGTTGAGGCATATCTCAGAGACCCGGAGAAATGTGAGGCCAAGAGAAGCTGGGGTGGTATTCTAGCCGTGTCCTATATAAGCAACACTAATATTTATAATTTGCTTAGTGTTTGTTCGTTAAGTGTTCAGCCTTGAAAATATTTTCAGTATTGCTAAATTATTCACTACTTTCATACTAAATTAACCTAATTTAGTGAATCACTCCCATATTATCAAAATGAACAATGGCTCATTTTACCTTTGTTAAAACATCATTTTAGTTCCTTGAATGGAAAACAATAAATCAAATCTCAGTTAGAAAATTATGACTAGTATCTTTCCCCAGCTATGGAAGCATCCTATCCATGTATAAAGTTCGGTATAAAGATGAGCAATCCCTTTGTAATTTACTCTTTGTAGAGTAAGGTTTTTTTTGTTTGTTTTGTTTTTTACAAATTTACCATTTTACAATACAAAAAGAAAATCAAAAGGCAAACTCTTTGAAATAATGAATTCTTGCAGAAAGGGTGCAATGTTACCTAGCGCTTCTAGGGTGAGGGACTTTGATCTATCCTTACTTGAAGTTTGTTTGTCTGTCAGACTTGGTGCTGCTTTTGAATATGTGCATACACTTGCCCACACCTTCAATTTCTACAGTGCTTCATAAAAACCAATGCATTGTTGAAACTTTATTAGTAAGTATATTGCTATCAAGAACTCCTATGTGGAATATAGTGAATATTTTATAATAATTACAAATGTAGTATAAACTTTAAAAATTGTGAATCATTATATTGTCCATCTGTAACTTATATATTATTGTATATCAATTATACGTCAATTAAAAAAGAAGAACTGCTGTGTAAACATCTGACAAATTCAGAAGCTTAACCCCCATGTCCCAAACTCCATTTAGTTCCATACTCTCCTTTCCCACATTGTGATCTGCTCAGATGACTTGCTGATCCAGCCCACAGGATATTATCTCCACTTCAGAGTGAACCATTCATTCGGAGTGCTTATCAGATGCCTAAAAAAGATTGAGAATTGGATTTTGTTGAGATTATAAGCTGTAGGGGTTGAGGAGGTTTTGGTACCTGCTTTGTTCATTTAATTTAATAAGTATTTATTGAGTGTCTGCTGTTTGTTAGCCATTATTTTTGGTGTTTGAGATATGAGTGAGCAAAACTGTAGAGCCTGTCCTCAATACAGCTTACATTCCAGCAGAGGGAGACACTCAACTATAGCTCAAATAGATTGGTAAATTACATGATGTATTAGAAAGCCATCAGGTGATATGAGCACATTAAGACAGATGGAAGTGGCCAGCCAAGTTGCTGTACAGTAAGCGCCCCACATAGGAATCTTCAAGTTGAGAATTTTCAAACATGCAAACGTGCTACTACCAAGACGTCGCTGGATCTTTTTTTTTTTCCCAAGAGGGTACATAGAATTGAATCCAGCAAGTGCCAGAACCATGCCATCAGCATCAGGCATGAGTGAACCTGCAGCTTGCCCTGTCTCCTGTTGCTGAAACCCTTTAGCTCTATCATCTCCTACTTCTTCTCCCTCCTCCAGTCTGTAACTTCTTTCATGTTTCCTTGATGCCAGCCCTGGTATGCTAGCTGTTGTACTGTACTACTGTACTTTTCAAAGTACGGTACTGTAGGATAAAAAATGTTTTCCTTATTTTTTGTGTTTTTTTTTTAATGTATTATTTGTGTGGAAAGTATTATAAGCCTATTACACTACACTACTATGTAGCTGACTGTGTTAATTGGGTACCTAGGCTAACTTTATTGGACTTTTGAACACACTCCTGGAAGGAGATTCATTCATATGTAAGTGACTTATTATATTAAAGAAAGTGGTCAATCTAGGTCTCATTGAGTAGATGGCATTTGAGGAAAGACTTGAAGGGGCTGAGGAAGTTAGTCCCGCAGATGTATAGGCATGGCAGTTTCCCATCCCAGTCAGAGAGACCAGCCACTAAAGAACCTTGGGAATGGGCATGCCTGGTATGTTCCAGAAAGGACAAGGAGGCCAGAGTGCCTGGAACAGAATGAGCTTGGAAGGGAGTATGAGGAGAGAGAGATAATGGG